GATTGCTTGTTCAAATTTTTTCAAAATTGTGATTATTAGCAATTATAATATCTTTCGGTTATTATATTTTATCATAAGTATTGATAGTGCTGATCAATATATAGGGTGTCTTTCATTATTCGTGGTACAATCGATAGAGAATGAATTCTTCATGAAAAAGAAAAAATATCTAATATTTTTTTTTGAGATTTCGCTTTTCATTTAATAAAATTTAAAAAATTTTTTAATATAAATTGACTAATCTCTAATTATGAAAAAAAATTGTGAATGAATTATTCAAAAAATATAATATACATTCTTTCTATTTAAAAATCAGTTTTCAAAAAAATTTAATTTGAAAATTTCGATTTTTTGACTATATATGTTCTATTATACTATTTTGTATTATGATATATCTCAAAAACTATTAGATATATAAAATTATATTTTATATTTTTTTATATTTAATTATATTTTATATATTTTCTAAAAACAAAGATTTAAATAATAAAATTTTATTCTATATTTTTTACTTTTTTTCACATATAAATCATTCGTATTTAATTTGATGTTAGCTAATTTTATTTTTATCTAAAAAATTTTCAAACTTGATTTACATAAAAATGAATGCTCAAATGAAATTTTTTGTTTTTCATGAATTATCTTTTTGTCTAATTGTATTACAAATAATAGAATATCCTATATATTTATCTATACGATGAAATTTCATTAGTAAGAATAAATCACGGTATCATCACAAGAAATTGGACATAGAAAAGAAGGAAATCGAATTGCGATTGACTTGCATACCATAATTCGATCACTGCATCGCTTTGTTCATTCCTTTCTATGCAATGAAACAAAGATTAAACTACAGTTCATATAAGTAGTGAACATAAATTTATATGATAGTAGGCTTATCTTGAACAATCGTGAAGATAATCTGACGATTCATGAATTTTTTCGATTTGTAAATGTTAAACAATTGATGAAAACTGGGTGACTTTTTTTATCCTTATTATAGACAAATATGTATGCGATAAATACGTAATATAAAGAAAAATAATCTGATAATAATATAATTTTTCAAAAACTGAAAAATAAAATTACATCAAATTAATTAAAAAATCATTAATTTTATAAAAAAGATGAATTTATATTATCTCATTATTTAAAAAGTATTTCTTTCTTTTTTTTTCCATGAATATAAAAATTTTACATTAAATTTTTTATTTATTGTAACAAAATACATAATATTTATGTAATCAGAATGATGAGACATAAATAAATAAAATAAAAAATAAAAAATATTTTTGACAAATATATGAAATAAATATAAATATAATTTTTACATAGCATAAAAAAAATACTTATAAAAATACTTTGCCAACAGAATCTTAAATTTAACAAAAACAATTATATTTATTTACTTTCACAAAAAATAAGTACATAATATTTATGTAGTAAGCCATAGATATGTCAATAATACAATAACTTTAACAATATCATGCCATAGAATATGTATAATTATTTATTTATTTGACAGATTGAATCACAAGAAACAGTACACTTAAACATTCCTATAATATTGTTGTTCTACAAAAAATTTCTTAAAACAATGATACATATCTGAATAGTCACAAAGTGATGGAAAAGAATTTTTCTTTTAAATTGTTAGAATTTATACAAAATTATAATTTATACAAAATTTCAAGATTATTATTTTATTCTTTTTATTCCATTTATGTTATGTAATGAATATTATAATATTAAATCAAAATTTATTATATTATATATTATTTATTTATTATTATATTACATTATTATCTAATATATTATTATTATTATAATAGATTTAGAAATTTAGCTTTTATAAATGAAAATATCTAGCGAATCATAAAAATATTTGAACATTATCTAACAAGAAAATTCACTTAATCCGAAAATTCTAATTAATTTTGAATGAAAATTTGTACATATAAAATAATTTTAATTAATAATTTGTAAAATATAATAAATTATACATGAAACAATTCTTTCAATGAAAAATTTCTTTAAAATTGCATCTTTCCATGTTTTAAATTTAATTGTCTGGAAATTATAAATAAAATGATAGAGCATTAAATTCTAAAATGAATATAAATTGCACGCAATATTATAAAGTTATATTTAAAAAACGAAAAACGTAATAAAATTTTAAGCGTTAATTTCATTTCTTTTAAATGGTATTTTAGTAAAAAAAAATTATTTCATATATAATCTATTATATTCTTCGCACTTAAAAAGTTTCATTAAAAATAAAAAATTTTAATATTTAAAAAATAAAAAAATATTCAAATATTTTTGAGCCACTGCATATTTATTTACATATTGTATAAGATGCTATATAATATGTCAGAGCTTTAGTTGATGCAGGTCCAGATATATCTATATACAAAAATTTATCTGTTTCACAAAGATTAATTTGTTTAAAATCTTTTTCTAGTATTTACTAGTTTTTTATCTGATTGATGATCATAATATTGCATATCAAAATAGAGGAACAAGTAAATATTTATTAAATCAAAATTTGATCTAAAAATATGTAATAAAATCGATCAATCATTTTTTTATTTCTATGCTGTTGCATTAAAATAATAAAATGATTTTATTTATTGAATTTATTTATTTTTATTGAATTTATTTAGATAAAAAGTATTTCACTATTACGTGGTTTAATTATTCCTATATTGCTTATTATCTATAAGCATATATATGATTATTTATATTATCTATAAGCATATAATTATGATTATATATATTTTTGATATAAATTGTTTCAAATTAAATAATCTGATTGAAATTCAATATAAGTTCAAGATTAAAGTTATTTATATTATAAAATATATTTATATTATTCTGTATAATTAATTATATAGATTATATAGATAAAATATAATATATTAAGTTTTACATGATACAAAAATAGTTGCCTTAAAAATGCGGCAGAGAATATATCTATGATCAAAAAATTTAATATAAAAAATTAATAACATTTAGATTAATAGAAAAATATGAA